AAACATCAGGTGGTTTAATTCAGAGGATGACCGCGGATAGTCTGACTATCGTGTTTTAGAAATTCTGTTAGCAGGACCTACCATCTTGGACTCAGAGCGAAAAGGGAAAAGGAAGACCCGAGGTCTCGCGATAAGCTGTGCGCTTAGATCTCAGGCGCCTGATTGGTTAGAGAGCATGCGTTTCCTGCCCCAACAGCTCGGATGATATGGGATGACGCCCCCAGTGGTAGAAACAGAAAATGAGCATTTCTCGAGTTCACCTTTTCGCATCTTTTTGGTTTAATTTAGTTATAAGTATTTAAGCAAATTAGTACATTGAGTAAAATACTAGAAGGATTATTTTTTTTATCAGGCATTTTGAAAATAAACACGGAATTTCACCCAAAAAGTAGTTTTATATCACAGAGCTTTAAAAATGAATTGTTTAGATTACATTTTGTATCAGAAATGGTTTAGCAACAGGAGCATGATTTATATTTAGCATATGAACAAATTGTTTTGGTTAGTTAAGTGGAAAATTTTACGTGACCTCATTATTAAAATTATAATAGCCTTCGTTTTTACCAGGCATTCATACCCGGTAATGTGTCTTGCGTTTTCCATGCTACATCGCTACACCATGCATTCTGCAAATGAAGCTGAGGCCACAGGGTGTCGCCAAAATGTAAAAAAGGCGACATGATATTTGAATTTTAATGTTTTATTGCTCCCTGACCTCTTTATTCCTCTCAGATCTCTGCCTGGGGGTTTTGACATTTACAGTGCCGTTTTATTACAACCCCGCTTTTCTATGCTGATCTCTCAAGTGGTTCTTGTTGTGATAATGATGTTTGATCTATGCATATTGGAGGATTAACACCCCAAAACGGTCGCACGACTGAAAAATCGGCTCAAAATGGGCCAAAAAAAAAAAAAATCGCACAGTGTATGCCCAGGGAGCACCGAAGGAAGTGGTGGTGTACACCAAGTATTCATTCAAATACTATGTTTAAAAAGAAAAAAACAACAACACCCAGAAGTCAACAAGTTATGATCTCAAACACATTCCCTGATGTTTGAGTTAGTAAGCTGCAAATTTGAGATAAGCCAAATTTATTGATGGTGAAAATTTCGTTTGTTTTGATTCAATAGCGGAAAATAAACTTTAGTATTTCATATTTTGGTAAAGTTGGAAGTGAAGTAGAACATATAATGTTATTAAATTAATAGCCATTAACACGATGAGATCATTTTATACACAGAAACACAGTTAAACCAAACTGTTTGTGTATCTGTACAATGTATTTTCCCACTTTGTTCTTTAATGTGACAAACTAAAAACTCAACGTTAATCAACCAAAGTAACTTACACAGAGAAACAGACATGCTGAGCAGAATTCTATATGATGCTTTTAATTACATTAACACGGGACACCTCCCTGCAGGTGGAGGAGAGGAGGTGAAGAGATGAAAGCAGGTAGGTTGAGGGTGTGGAGAAGGATGTATGGGGTCTGCAGGTGAGGGTCGTAACAGAGGAAGGTGGTGAAAGGAGGTCAGAGGGTCTCGTATCTATCTTGAAGTTCAGCAGCCTCCTCAATGCCCCTTTCAGCAAAAAACTTCCTAAACAATCTCCATTTACCTCTTTCCTTCTTTTCTTGCTTCTCTTTCTCTTCGACTTCCATTTGTTCTTGCTTCTCTTGCTTTTTCTGGTCTTTTGTAGTGTCTGTCTCTTGCTCACAACATTTTCTCTGCCCATGCAACTCCATCAAGTTTGTATAATTCTGCAGAAGTACTTTGTAGTTATTCTTAAGTTGCTCCAATTGTTCCTCCTCATCTTTAGGCTCCTCTTTCATGTGTTTACACTCCTGCTGGTGTTCCAGCATTTCCTCCACACCTTTCTGACTCTGGGCCTCTTTGTCTGGCTTCACTTTTACACTTGCATCTTTTGGATTTTCCATTTCTTGCTTCTGCTCCTCCGCTGTTTTCATTTCTGCTTCCAGTTGTTTGTAACGTTCTTCAAGTTCCTTGTATTTCTGCTCTGTTTCGTTTTTATACTTTACAAAAAGATCCCAGTGGATGTAGCGTTGCCTTTCTTCCAAGAGACCATTTAGACGTCTCCTCAGCATGTATGCGCTCTCGCTGAGGTCTTGGTTTGCTCTTCGGAGGGCGTTGAGCTCATTGTAAAGCGGACCACCCCAGCGAGGAGCGCCAATGTTTAGTGGATTTCTTTGGTAGTTGAACCTTTGGGTCATTGTAAAAAAAACTAACTTTTTTCTTTACCTTAAACAAAAGAAATCCTTTCTAGACACGAAATTTAACGTTCAATAAAGTCTCTTGCTGTTTGCAGTTGAAGAGCTTGTTAGGTTTTGACGGAAGAAAACACACTGACGAGACAAGCAAAGAAGGTTTAAACGAGGCTTTCAGCTGTTTGCCACCGCGTGTCCATGGCAACGACCTTTGACAGGGCTCAAGTTATTTTGCTCTTCAAAAACAAATAAATAACGACACACAGCACACAGTTTTGTATTTAAAATTTCGTTCCACTTTCCCTTTCCCCAAATATATTCGATAGACCCTGTGCACGAGAAAATGCTAACTTCCTGGTTTGAGACCGGATGTGGGGTTGTACATTTCCGGTAGCTTTACCTTGCGGTCAATCGCTACTGCGAAGATATACTCCAAAATCATGTCCAAAACTCGAAAACGGAAAGTTCGCGTTAAGTTACAAAGAGGAGAAGGTGGGAACACTCACAACTGTTGTGTCATAAAAAAATAAAGAGTTTAGATCGATCACTTGTTTACATCACTCAACACAAGCAGAACTGCATTACTGCAGCAGAAGACACATCGTCCACATTCAGAAGCACATCTCTGTATAGTGACTGGTCTTATGATTTAACCAGACAAATGTTCAGCATTCAAACTACAGGTGAAGAATAGTCAAGCCAGATGTTTCCCCCATAATGTCGAGATCAGTTAGTCAAGTACACACCTACACAGCA